TAAAAATATATATTTTATTTCACTTAAAGTTTATGCTATTTCTTGTAACAAAAGTAGTTTACATTTTTATAATGTTTATTTTATTTCAAGTAATGACATTTTTATAGTTTGATTTTTAATATTTTAAATTAGTTTTAGTTTCCATTTTCACTTCAACGTTTTAGTAATTTTGTTGTGTGTTTCTGACATTTTTATGAGTTTTAGTTTTAGTTATTTTATTACATCAAGTTAAACTAAATTAAAGCGAGAAATGTTACATTGTCGACTCGCTGAAACAATTTTATTTTATTTTACTTAACATTTATTTTATTTCAAGTAATGGACATATATTTCATGGTTTATCTTTTGTCATTTTGTCTTTTAGGTTTTGTTTGAATGATTTTATAAATATATTTTCAATTTTAGTTTTAGTTTTAGTAATTCTGTTGTGTGTTTTTGTCATTTTTATTAGCGTTTTTTTAATCTAAATATATAGTTTTAATAATTTTTATTTTAGCTTAAGTGATTTTTTTGCATCAAGTTAAATTGAACTAGCTGAAGTAGTGTTTTTTTTTGTTTGTTTCAGTTAAAATTTATTTTATTTTAAGTAACGGAAATTTTTTTTTTTTTTAAGGATTTAGTTCTTGTTAACACTAATAACCCTGGTTTGTGGTAGGTTTGAAAGAGGACAGGAAGACACGTTTAACCTGGAGATCGATGACATCGCGCCCCTGAAAAAGCTCCGCGTTCGCATCGACGCAACAGGAAGTCGTCCTGATTGGTTCCTCGACAAGGTCAGTCTGAGATAAGAGCTTCTAATGAAACTCGAGCAGCTCACGTTCTGTTCGGACTCAAATCTGTGAGTCTTTTAATCAGGTTATCAGGTTAATCACAACATAAGGAATGAAACTCATTAAGGGCATGACTATAAACATGTTGTTTGTTCCTGTCACATGACCCAGATAATCATGAGAAACCTGAGCACGGAGGAGGTGTATGTTTTCACCTACGAGGAGTGGCTCTCCAAGACCAAAGGACCCAAGAGGACCAAGGTCTGTGAACTCTCTGCGGTCGTGGACGACGAGGAGATGGTGGAGAAAACCACATACACCATCCAGGTTAAAACCAGTGACAGCGCTGGTAGGTGCAACTAGTATCACTGCAAAAAATGATTCTCTTGCTGTGTTTGTGTCTTGTGTTCTAGTATAAATATCTAAGCATTCTTGAATCAAGATGCATTTACTGTACAAGTAAAATGATTTAAGATATTAAGTCTTGTTTTCTAAAAAAATCATCAAAATTGTGTTCATTTTTGCTTAAAACGAGCAAAAATATCTGCTAATGGGGTAAGAAAAATAATCTTAATTCAAAGGCTAAACAATAGTATTTTTCTTGCACCATTGGTAGATATTTTTGCTTGTTTTAAGGAAAAACTTAACAAATTTTATTTTATTTTTTACAGAAAACAAGACATAATATCTTAAATCATTTTACTTGTAAACTGGTTATTAAGCAGATCAACATTATTCATCAAATCAAGGGTAATATTGTTCACTAAAACTACAACTATTAAAAAAAACAACAGTTTTCATTACTTACGTACTATAAATGTTAACTAGGAAAAAAACATTTCAGTTAATTCCTAAAGAAACATCTCTTTTTCATTTAGTTTAACTTTGTGTATTAAAATCAGTAAAACTAAAATAAAATTAATATAAACTATATAGATTTATTTTAAAAACAACCTAATAAAAATGACAAAAACAAAACAGAATTACTGTAAATAAAATGAAAATGGAAAACAAAAACATAAAAATGACATTACTCGAAATAAAATAAGTGAAATTAAGTGAAAATAAAAATAAAAACTCATTTAAAATATAAAAAACCCTTAAAGCATAGAAAATATTTAATAACATTTTTATTTAAAGTGAAATAAAATAATTTTAAAAACCTTCGACTTATTTTATTTCAGCTTGTTGCCGAAGTATGTATTAAAATACCTAAAGCTGAAGTAAAATGTAATAAAAACTATATAGAAATATTTAAAACTAATAAAAATTACTATAACTCTAAAATGAAAATGGAAAAAAAAAACTAAGTAATAGTATCTCAGTGGTACTAAATGAACACATTGATTACAGACTTTGCAGAATCTAAACACTGTTGAGATCTTCTTCTGTGAGGTTACAGGAGTCTCAGGAGATCAATCTGAAAAATAAAATAAAATACTCCATGTGCTCTCCACTCAATCTCATGGCTGTCAGGAGAACGATTTGAGATACTAAAGAGATGTGATTTGTGATTGTGTGTTATAAATGAGCATCATGCTGCTCTTCTATTGATGCACAATCGTTTTCTCATGTCGTTTGGCAGCCGCCGGCACAGACGCCAATGTGTTTCTGATCGCGTTCGGGGAAAACGGCGACACGGGAATGCTGGCACTGAGAGAATGCAGCAACAGGAACAAATTCGAACGCAATCAGATGGATGTTTTCCGTTTCGGGGATATTCTGAGTCTGGGCGAGCTGGCCGGCCGGAACGCCAATGTGTTTCTGATCGCGTTCGGGGAAAACGGCGACACGGGAATGCTGGCACTGAGAGAATGCAGCAACAGGAACAAATTCGAACGCAATCAGATGGATGTTTTCCGTTTCGGGGATATTCTGAGTCTGGGCGAGCTGTCCAAGGTCCGAGTGTGGCACGACAACAAGGGTGAGAAACGTTCTGTGCGTGTGTGTGTGTGTGTGTCTGTGTGTGTGCGTGTGAGCATGTGTGTGTGTGTGTGTGTGTGTGTGTGTCTGTGTGT